AGTTGAATGGATATAAGTACTCATTGTGGAAGAACTAAAGGAAGGATGCATATATGTAATGTAAATAGAACTGTATTGAAAGTATGTATTGTTTAAATTGTTTTAATTATGTAATAAAAATCTTTAAAAAAAAAGCAAGGGGCAGGGAGGGGAAGCAAGGAACTGAGGAAAAGGGATCAAGGGATTGGGGTAAAGCACTAAAAAGGTTGGGAGGCCATTTTACAGATGGCAAACTGAGGCCAAGAACTACAATAGGTTTTCTTGGCTGATGGGGGGTTTCATCTTGTGTTCCCTGGCCCCATGTTATCCACACAACATCCGATGGCATACATACTTTGTTCCTACCTGTAAATGTGCTGTTCTGTAGCCTCTTAGATTAGGATTTAGAAGTTGTGGGTTCAAATCTACAATCAACTATTAAACTCATGGTGTGTGACCTATGGCTAGTTATACTCTCTCAGCCTAGCCTACCTCATGGGGTTGTTTTAAGGACAGAAATTTTGGTGGGGAGAAACACCAGACTCCTTGGAGAAAAAAGTGCATAAAAATGCAATAAATACATAGCCAGCATTGCGTAGTGGATTGAGCAATGGAATCCCCACTTGGCTATGAAAACACAGGATGACTTTTGGGCAAGTCACATTCTCTCAGCCGCAGAGGATGACAATGGCAAACCCCCTCTGAAGAAACTTGCCAAGAAAACCCTATGATGGGTTCACCCTATAAGTCAAAAATGACTTGGATGCACACAGCAACAACAGCCATACTTCTCTCTGTCCCCATAACATTTCTGTTCTAAAGGCTTGCTCTCCATATCTTTGAGGAGTGAGGCTGACTCTTTCAAGCTTATTTCAGCTTGTCTTTTTTAATTCCAAATTGAGAGCAGTTCCTTTAGGCAAGGAAGAAGGACATGTCTTTGCCTGAAGGGCTCTGATCCAAGATAACCATTTAGAAGGAACATTCCACATGTAAACAGCTTTGTTACTTAATGGAATCTAGCGTGGATTAGAATGTGAGGTTTTAAGAAACTCTGATTTGTGATTATTTAAATTGTAACTTTCTGATCCTCATGATTATGAAGAAAAATGTCTTCCTCCCCCAGTCCTGGCATAGTTGCCTTTGGTGCAGAAACCGGTCCAATGACATCTGAAATGAGAGCCAATGTGGTGTAGTGGTTTGAGCACTGGACTATGACTCTAGACCAGGCCAGGGTTTGAATCCCTGCTTGGCCATTGAAACCCACTTGATGACCTTCGTAAGTCATTTTCTCTCAGCCTCAGAGAAAGGCAAAGGCAAAGGCAAACCTCCTCTGAACAAATTTTGCCAAGAAAATCACATGATAGGGTCACCATAAATTGGAAATGACTTGAAGGCACACAACATATCATCTGAAATGTGGCTCAGGATGAAAATCCGAACAATTTATGTGTTGGTGCTTACAAATATATTTTATTTGTATAACTCAGGGGTAGGCAACCTTTCCCCTTTAAGGGCTGAGGGACTTCAGCTCCCAGAATCCCAGGAGCTATTGGCCAACATGGGACTATTGGCCAACATGGCTGAGGCTTCTGGGAGCTGAAGTCCCTCGGCCCTTAAAGGGGAAAGGTTGCCTACCCCTGGTATTATAACTGAAGCCAACTGGATTTCCTGGGTACAGAATCTGACTATTTTTGGCATAGCGGCACCATAGTCCAGGAAGTAAGGCAGGATAAACCTTTGGCTTGCCTGGTGATTTGGCCTTCATTTCCCCGAAGCCCCAGCCAGCATGGCCTATAATGATGGATTATGAGAGTTGTGGTCCAAACCATCCAGTGAGCTAAAGAATCGACATTAAAAACACTTTATGCAGGATTATCAATAGCTGCTAGCCGCTTACAGCAAATTAGATTACGGAGATACATAAATAGAACCTACACAATGAAGAAATTGAAATAGCTAAAGATTTCCTGTACCTTGGATCAAACACTGATCAGAACAGAGACTGTAGTCAAGAAATAAGAAGAAGACTAGTAATGAGAAGGCCATGAAAGAAGTAGAGCAGGTCCTAAAGACTAAAGATATACAACTGAGCACTAAAGAATTATCCAGGCTATTGTATTCCCCATCACCATGTACAGATGTAAGAGCTGGACAGTGAAAAAAGCAGATAAGAAGAAAATCAACTAATTTGAGATGTGGTGCTAGAAATGCGTGCAGAGGACACCACAGACAGCCAAAAAATCAAACAAATGGGTCCTTGAATGGATCAAGTCTGAAATTTCCCTGGAAGCCAAGGTGATCAAACTGAAGTTATCGTCCTTTGGCCACATAATGAGAAGCACTACTCATCGGAAAAGACAATAATGATAGTAGACTGTAATTGATGTGGAGTTTTGCTATGATAAATTTGTTTTGACCAAC